ATTGATTTTGGCTCAGGTCATGATCTCAGGGTCATGAGATCAAGCCCTGTGTGAGGCTCCACACTTAGCAGGGAGTCTGCTTGAGATTCTCTCCCTCTCCCACTCCCCCCAAGCTCTCTCTCTCAAATAAATAAATAAATCTTTAGGGGCGCTCAGGTGGCTCAGTTGGTTAATCAGCTGCCTTCAGCTTGGGTCATGATCCTCGAGTCCTGGGATCGACCCCCACATCAGGCTCCCTGTTCAGCAGGAAGTCTGCTTCTCCCTCTGCCCCTCCTCCTGCTCATGCTCTCTCTCTCTCAAATAAATAAATAAAAACCTTTAAAAGAAAATAAAAATAAATCTTTAAAAAAAAAAGAAAAAGATTTGTTTGTGACCAACATGTCATGTATCCTGGAAAATTCACAAATCTGTGGAAATTTAACAACTTATGCCTAAACAACCAAAAGATCAAAGAAAAAAATCAAAAGAGAAATTAAGAAACATCTAGAGACAAATGCAAACAAAAATACAACATACCAAAAATTCAGGGATGTAGGAAAAGCAGGAAAGTTTACAGCAGTAAATGCCTACATTTAAAAAAAGAAGAAGAAAGATCTAACAAGCAACTTAACTTTACACCTCAACTAACTTTAAAAAAAGGAACATTCTAAGCCCAAAGTTAGAAGAAGGGAGGAAATAATAAAGATTAGAGCAGAAATTAAAAGAGAATAGAAAAATAATTTTAAAAAATCAGCAACACTGAGAGTTGATATTAGAAAAGATCAAGAAAACTGATAAACTTTTAGCCTAAACTAAAAAAAAAAGAAGACTCAGTAAAAGCAGAAAGGAAAAAGGAGACATTACAACTGATGTCATAGAAATAAATATGAATATAGACACTACTATATACAATTATATGCCAACAAATGGGATAACCTAGTAGAAATGGGTAAATTCATAGAAACATATAACCTACAAAGACTGAATCCAAAGAAACAGAAAATCTAAACAAATCTATAACTAGTAAAGAGACTGAATCAGTAATCAAAAACTTCCCAACAAAGAAAAAATCAGCACCAGATGGTTTCAATGGAGAATTCTACCAAACATCTAAAGAAAAATTAATGTCACTCTTTCTCAAACTCATCCCCAAAATCAGAGAGCAGGGAACACTTCCAAATTCATTTTATGAAGTCAACATTACCCTGATGCCAAAGCCAGGCAAAGACACTACAAGACAAGAATAAAAACTATAAGCCAACAACTGGATGAATACAGATGCAAAAATCCTCAACAAAATACTAGAAAACCAAATTCAACAGCACATTAGAAGGATCATACACCATAACCAAATAACATTCATGCATGTTATGAAAAGATGGTTCAACATATGGAAATCAATCAACGTGATACACCATATTAACAAAATGAAGGGAAAAATGTTACATGATCATCTCAATAGATGCAGAAAAAGCATCTGACAAAATTCAACACCATTTCATGATAAAAAATATGCAAGCTAGAAACAGAAGAAAATTACTGCAACCTAATAAAGGCTATATATGAACTGTCTACAGCTAGTATCATACTCAGTGGTGAAAACTAAAATCTTTTCCTCTAAAGATCATGAACGATGCAAGAATGCCCATTGTTGCCACCTCTATTCATCAGAGTATCTGAAGTCCTAGCCAGAGCAATTAGGCAATAAAAAGAAATAAAAGGCATCCAAATCAGAAAGCAAGAAATAAAATTATCTATGTTTCTAGATGATATTATACATAGAAAGCCCTAAAGATTCTATTTAAAAAAAAAACCCTGCTAGAACTAATAAACAAATTTAGCAAAGTTACAAGATATAAAATTAACATACAAAGAGTAGTTATATTTCTCTAACACTAACATCAAATAATCTAAAAAGGAAACTAATAAAACAATCTCATTTACAATACCAACAAAAAGAATAAAACACACAGGAATAAACTTAACCAAGGAAGCAAAAGATTTGTACAATGAAAACAATAAAACAATGTTGAAAGAAAGTACAGAAGAAACAAATGAAAACACATCACATGTTCAATGGATTGAAAGACTTAATATTGTTAAAATATCCATACCATCCAAAGTAACCTACAGATTCAATGTGATCCCTATCAAAATCCCAATGGCATCTTTGCAGACATTTTTGCAGAAAACAATGTTAAAATTCATAAGGAACCACAAAGGACCCTATATAGCCAAAACAGTCTCAAGAAAGAGAAATGAAGCTGGGGGCCTCATACCTCCTGAATTCAAAACATTTTACGAAGTAATCAAGACAGTAGGTACTGGCATAAAGAAAAACATATAGACCAATGGAACAGAATAGTGAGCCCAGAAATTAATCCATGCATATGGGTCAAATGATTTGACCAAGTGCCAATTCTACACAATGGAGAAAGGATAGTCTTTTTAACAAATGGTGTGGGGAAAACTGGATATCTACATGCAAAAGAGTGTAATTGGACCTTTATCTTGTTCCATATACAGAAATTAACTCAAAATTGTTTAAAGACTTAAACATAAGATCTGAAACCCTAAAACTCATAGAAGAAAATATAAAGCAAAAGCTTCATACATGGGTCTTGGCAATGATTTCATGGATATGACACCAGAACCAAAGACAACAAAAGTAAAATAGACAAGTGGGACTAGATTAAACTAAAAAGCTTTTGTGCAGCAAAGGAAACAATCAACGAGACTGTAAAGGAGAAAATATTTGCAAAGCATATATTTGACAAGGAGTTGATATTCAAAATATATAAAGAAATCCTACAATTCAAAAGCAAAAAAGTAAATAACCTGATTTAAAGATGGGCAAAGGCCCTGAATAAGCATTTCTCTAAAGAAGACATACAAATAACCAATAAGTATATGAGAAGATGCTCAACATCACTAATCATCATGGAAATCCAAACCAAAACCACGATGAGATATCACCTCATACCTGTTAAGAAGACCAGTATAAATCAAAAACAAAACAGAAAATAGCAAGTGATGGCAAAGATGTGGAGAAATTGGAACCCTTATGCATTTTATATTGGTGGGAATGTTAAAATGGTGCACCCATTATGGAAAACAGTATGGACATTCCTCAAAAAATTAAAAATAGAACCACATATGATCCAACAATTCCACTTTTGGGTATTTATCCAAAAAAAACTGAAAGCAGAATCTTGAGATACTTGCAATCCCATGTACACTGTAGCATTCACAATATCCAAGAGGTGAAAACAACCTAAATGTCCACAGATGGGTGAATGGATAAAGAAAATGTAGTATATATATAATGGATTATTATTCAACATTAAAAAAAAGAAAGAAAATCCTGTAAAATGCTACAACATGGATGAAACTTGAGGATATCATACTAAGTGAAATAAGCCAGACACAGAAGGACAAATACTGTATGATTCCACTTATATGATATATTTAAAGTAGTCAAACTCATCTAAGCAGAAAGTAGAATGATGGATGTCAGGGGTTGGTGGAAGGGGAAAATAGGGAGTTGCTATTTGATGTTTCAAATTTTCAAATTTCAAAGTTTCAATTACATAAGATGAACAAGTTCTAAAGATCTGCTGTACAACAATGTGCATATAGTTAACAACTGTACATTTAAAAATTGTACATTTAAAAATGTGTTAAAAGGATAGATACATTATGTGCTTTTTTACCACAATTTGGGGTGGGGGAAGGAATATACAGGGGGCATGGGAATGAGCATGGGAAAAAAATGAATGAAGTAAAGAAATCTGGGCAGAAGAAGGTACATGTACAAAGGCCTTGAGTGGGCTAATAACCTATTCAAGGAACTGAAACAAGTCCAAAACAATTTAGGCATGGTGAGCAAGGATGAAAGTGGTAACAGATGAAAACCAGAGATGTAGCAGGAGCCTGATCAAGCAGGGACTTACAGGCCATGGTGAAAGATTTTAATTTTATCCTAAACCAATGGAAAGTTTCTAAATGGCTTTAAGTAAGGGAATAACAATCTGATTAGTGTTTGAGAATGATCAATCTTTTAACAATTTTACTTTTCTCTGCAGTATACCTCTTCTTCTTTTTTTTTTTTAAATAGGCTCCACACCCAACTGGAGCCCAGCACAGGGCTTGTACTCACAGTCCTGAGATCAAGACCTGGGCTGAGATCAAGAGTTGAATGCTTAACCTACTAAGCCACCCAAGTGCCCTCAATTAAAAAATTAAATAAAATTAGGCAAGAATCTTCCTTAAAAAAACAAAGGCAAAATTTCAGAAATATCTGGAATTTAGATTTAAGGCAAAATTCCATTAATGGGTCAAGTAATCTGAATCAATTATGAATTCAACATAGTTTCTCTATAGAAAAAAGGGGCACCTGGGTGGCTCAGTCGGTTAAGCATCTGCCTTCGGCTCAGGTCATGATCCCAGGGTTCTGGGATCGAGCCCCGCATGGGGCTCCCTGCTCAGTGGGAAGCCTGCTTCTCCCTCTCCCACTCCCCCTGCTTGTGTTCCCTCTCTCGCTATCTCTCTATCATATAAATAAGTAAAATCTTAAAAAAAGAAAGAGCAAAGAAAAGAAAGGAATCGGGTAAAATCTGTCCAATAATGGCAGTCATACACTTAAGTTTCCTTTGAAAGGATAGTATTGAAGCACTTATTCAACTTTTCTCTGATCTCTCATTAACCATAGCATGAAAATAGAATGAATTTCAGCAATAAAGTATAATACACAATATACTTAAAAGTTTGATTTGCATCTGCCCTAAAAGAGCATCTTATACCATTCCATATAAGTGGAACAAAAGAATTATTTTCAAACTTGCCTCAGTATCAACACAGTATTTTAAAATGCAGCATAATTATCTGTATGGAAAATATCAGTTTCAATTTGCCTTTTTTCCCTTCTTATTGGCAGTCAACTCAAAAGAAAAGAATATAAACTAAAGGTTTACCTAATAAATTGTTTATTTATGAAGGCTTTATGCTAGGAAAAACCTTACCAACAGTACAGCTGTCTTCAAGTACCACATCAACATTTCTGTCTCTGTACTCAACCCTGAAGTCCAGCATCCGAGGTTGCCGTTCTACAATTTGCCTAGATGGCATTACAGGTCGAAATGCTGAAGAGGAAGAGGGAGCAGGAACTGAAGCTGGGTGACTTGGATCAAATGCAGGTCCTGGTATAGTTTCACCTCCATAGTCACTGAAATATTGACATAGAAAGAAAGATTATCATCAACCAAATCATTACAGATTACCACTAAGGACCCATTCCATATTTGGCTTGTGTTGGTCTTCCAATCAAATTTACCTACCTGTGCATCAAGGCCTAACTAAAGTTTTACTTCCTCCATAAAATCTTTCCTAGTGACTGAAAGCCAAATTACTCTCCCTCCCATCCCTGCCCTTCTATGTCTATTAGCAGTATCATACATATAATTTAGCATTTAATCAGAGTTTTGCCCCATGTTGTTATAATATTAGTAAAACATTAATTTTGAATTAAGAACAGTGTCTTCTTCATTCACTTTCATTTGCTTGCTGAAACATTATTTGATTAACTCTACTTTCCAAAAAACTCAGAAATTTACCATCCTTAAACCTCCATTCTATCATACTGCTCAGTCTTAAAAGATAATTTTTTTCCTGCTTTGCATAGAAAACAGATGCCATCAAGATGAAATTCCCTTACTTTTTTGACATCAAATCCACAAACTAACCCACATATATACTCTTTTTCTCTTTCTATAGAACAGAGGCAACATCATTCTAAAACCATCTTCTAATTAGCTTTACATTATGGTATGCTTTTCCTTTCCAGTATCTTCAACATCTCCTTCTCTTCTGGATTCTTCTTAATAACATTTAAACATGTTTAAGTCTTAAAAAATAAAAATAAAATCTTTGTTCTGCTCACTTAATAGTTATCTCATTTCTAAAATGGGAAAATTAATTATATTTGTAGGGATTAAATCAGGTATTTACATGAAAAGCTTAGCACACTGCCTGGTACCTAGTAAGATCTCAAACATCAAACTCAGTATATCCAAAGTTTAACTCATTAATGTTTCCCCAAGCCTGATCCTCCCTCCGTTGTTCCTCATATTAGCTACCCAAGCCAGAAACTTCCAGCATTATCCTTGATACCTTTTCGCAACTCCCATATCTAGTCAGTCCTTTCAATTTTACCTCCTAAATATCTTTTACTTAAGTCATCCACCTTTCCCCTTTGAAGCTGACACCCTAGCGCAAGCCACAAGCACCTCTTACATGGACTGATGGAACAGCCTCCTAACTAATCTCTCTGAAGGTTCCTTTGCTCCCCTGCATGTCATTCCTTACCACCACAAAAATGAAATTATAGAAATGTCTTCATGTCATTTTCTTCAATATTCCCCTCTGCTCTTCATACAGAGCTAAAGAGGCATATAAGCCCCTATATGATCCAAATCCTATCTACCTCCCCATCCTTAGCTTGTGCTAGGCTATCTCCAATCTCTCTTTTAACAGCCATTAACAGCCTTTCATTTCTTCCGTCTCGCCTTGATCCTTCCCATTTCATAGGGGAACACAGACTATTCCTTCAAAGAATATTCTTTCTTTCCCATATCATCCCAATATTCTATCTTTCTTCTAGCTAATTATATTTACCCTTCATATCTCAGATTGAATCTTTTTCAACTCAGAGCATGTTTTACTACCTCAGACTGGTTCTAATTCCTCACCACTACCAATTATAATTGGTATTAATCATTTGACATTTAGGACCCCCCAGAGAATATAAGTTCCACAAGGGCAAAGTTCACATTTGTGTTTTTAATGGCTGTATCCTCTGCCTGGAGCTCAAGATTTTACAGAGAAAGTACTTAAATATTTAACAAACTAATGAGTAAAGGAATAATTATTAAAGAATTTGGCTTTTCTCTCACTTAATTTACATATATAGTCACTTTTTTCCCCCTCACTGGGAGGAGTAAGGAAGAAGAGAATATAAGGAATGCTTCCACTGAAACATCATTTTGTATATATGTTCCACCACCACCAAACTACAAGCTCATTTCTAAAACATCTTTTTTCTCACCCTAAATTTACGGGAAAACAACAGATTGGGAACCTGAACAAGAACAACAAAAACAAGAACGACCAAAAACACACAAATAAGCACTACTGATACCAACAAGCCAGGAAAAAATATTTACATTTACTTCACACTATTGCTCTGATTAGTGTTTACCAAATTTAGATTACAAAATTGATTTTTGTGAGTTGTGATCGTCTTTTAAAGAATAGGATAGGATAGGATAGGATACAAATGATCAGTACATGGCACTTAATAATTAGGACCATGTATTGTTTCCCAAAACTTTTGATTCAGATACATATTTGCATATGTGTGTTTTGGATTCCAGGTATTTCTCATTGTACATCATAGCCAAGAAAGTGTGAAAATGATGAGAGTTCAGATACTCTAGTAATCACTGATCCAAAGACAAAAACCTACACTTTCTCCCAGTTGTTAAGATTCAAGAAAAGTAATCTTAGAAGTAAGAGATGGAAAAGAAAATGTCCAAAGCAGGAAAGACTATCACTATTGGAATCCAAAGTGAGTATCTATGAAGAGAATGTGTGCAATATTTCATATCTCTCAATTTTGTCACAACTTCTCAGAACCTCGGAAAAACAGCTAAAGTTAATAGGCTGGTCCCTGACTTACTGTTTTCTTAACTACAAATTCATCCTTCTGTAGTCTATTGTGTGATGCTGGGGCTAGCATTCTGCAAAATTCTATTTGTCCTTTGGCATGTTTCCCCAATAGATTCTGCAAATAGGGGATACTATTAGATAGAGATCGTGTTACGAGGAGAGGAGGAAAGCCTTCCTTCTTCCTATTTGCATATCCATCTATCAGTGTCATCCTGTAGCTTTCAGTCTCCTGGCTTTTTTCAGTATCCATATAACCAGCTTCTTGACATCCCCTCAGACACCAATAACAGCTAGACAGTGTGCATTCCACAGAGGCCTGATCCTCACTCAGGTCCAAGGGACTCCTCGGAGCTTTAAAGTTCTGTTAATCCTTTTGACCTAGACCTAAGAGTGGTAACTTCCTGAAGCAGCTATTATACATAGGTTACTTCAGTTTTACTTTTTGCTCTTTTAGTCTTCCACACCTGTGTAACCAATCCTACACTAAACTTGAAATACCCAAAATTTTTTTTTGGTAATGGAGGTGTCCCAGAAACAGGATTCAGGAATTGGTTTGATTACGTCCTTGACCTTCAATACACTGATGAGCTCTTTGCCAATGGAAAATGAGATACTAGTGATCATGCACTGGCATAATGATTAATTGAATTACCACTTATAGTTCATTATGATCACATACCTATTAAAACAAGTGCCTAAGGGGACAAATGACTATTTGACTTGGCCATCACGGTAGTAATAATAACAATAAAGACCTTGAGCTGGCTGCTTCTGGAAAGCTTAACAGAAGAAAATGACATACTTTGGGTTATTAACTTTCAGTTCAAGCCATGATAAGAAAGCTAGAGCTTTTGAAGTAGCACTTTCTTATTTCCCGTCCTCCAGGTATGATCCTACTGAGAATCCCAAACACAAAATTTAATTTTGCAGCTTACATAACTACAGTGAAAGCTGAGTACATATACTTTCTAAGCCTCTGTTGTGAAAATTACAGCACTGTTTTAGAAGGAGTGGGACCCTAAAATGTGGAATAGGGATACCCAAGTGAATTCAGATGAAGGTTACAATCTTGAACCCACAGAGTCCCTCTGAACCTCTTTTGTAAACAGAAACAACTCCTCTTCCCATGACTGAAGTTAGCCTCCTCTTGCCTGAAAACTGGTAATGCTCGGGCGCCTGGGTGGCTCAGTCGTTAAGCGTCTGCCTTCAGCTGAGGTCATGATCCCAGGGTCCTGGGATCGAGTCCCACATCGGGCTCCTTGCTCCGCAGGGAGTCTGCTTCTCCTTCTCCCACTCCCCCTGCTTGTGCTATCCCTCTCTCTCTCTCAGGTAAATAAATAAAATCTTAAAAAAAAACCAAAAAACTGGTAATGCTCTTACTTGGACCATTGCCTTGGAAAAGGATGCCTATTGTCGAAACCTACCCCCACCATTCCTTACTGCCTCTAAAATCAGATCTAGGCATGCTCCAGGAGAATAAGTACAATGTCTTAACTGAGAGAGGGCTTATATCCAAAATAATTATAAGATTTTGATAAAGCAAAAACCTAGGGAATAGGTAAGGAAATGAATTTGAAGTGAATTTGACCAAAAGAGTTTGGATAGGGCCAAATATAACATGTTTGCTTAAGCAGCTCTAAGTCCTCTAATAGTTTGCTTGTTGACTGAATGAAACTTAAGTCCCAAAGGAGTCTACATTTAATGAAGATGAAATGCCCAAACTTTCCTGGCAAAATGTAGAAGAAATCCAGATGCTTAGAAAAATAAGAATGCTCAAGTGGATTCACCATGCACAATCTGAACATACATACATCCTCCTACTACATCATCCATGAGGTCCCAGAGGACATTGCACTAAAGCATTAAGAAATACATTAGTAAGGGGGGAGGGGAGGTCTGCATTCTTGAAAAATTGTAGTGGCTGTCTTCCATGGGTTGGGAATGACATGAGGAGATGACACCACTGAATAAGTTTCCTTAATGGGCATGAGATCCCAAAGTGCTCAGGTCAAATGGCAGAATTTAGTAAGAAAAAGGTGGGAGCAATTATGTTAATGGACAGCATAGACAAGAAGTGGCAATCAGAAGATTTCAACCTGCAGAGATCTTTAGAAGTGTTTAACTGTACATAATTATTTTTCTTCTTTGAGAGGGAGAGCAAGCACGGTGGGGGAGAGGGACGGAGAGAAAGGGAGAAAGAGAATCCTAAGCAGGCTCCACACCCAACCCCACAAAGGGCTCAATCTCATAGATTCTGAGATCACAATCTGAGCTGAAATTAAGAGTTGGACGCTTAACCAACTAAGCCACCCAGGCACCCCAGAACATGATTATTTCTAAGGAACCAAATTAAAAGTCAATTGACTAAAATATTACTTGATCTAAACCCTAGACCTGATAGCCTAAAACCTAATGTCTGTAACACAATGGGCAGTCATAGCCACTCTCAGTTTCCAAACACAAGTTGTTTCAGAGACATAAAGTCCCTGATCCCCACAA